GGAAGATGGTGTAAACTCCCAGGGTGGGGACTGGAGTTCTCTTTTCCTCGGGTAAGGATCAGCATCTTCCTGGGAAGGAGAACGGCACAAGTCATCTGCATCATTTGTAATGCTTTTGGCTGCAAGTAACTGCAAGCTGGCTTAAACAATAAGGGAAATGGATCTTTTGTAACAAGACAAGAGGTAGGGTGACTGTGGGGTTGGCAAATCAGCAGTTCAGTGTTGTAAGCAAGTACTTGTGCTCCTTCCATCTGCCCACTTCCTCCATGGTCACAAGAAGGCTGCCACAGCTTCAGACACCACAAACAGACCAGACAACGGGAATGCCTTCTAGAACCCACCCCAACAACCAGCAGACTTCCCTCTGACATGAGTCATATCATATGCAAATGCCTAAAACCAGGAGTCAGCAAACTTTTTCTGAAAAGGGCCAGGATAGTAAATATTTTTGGCTTTGAGGATGTACCTTTTGCCAAAATCACTCAGTTCTGCCATAGGAATGTGAAAGCTGTCATAGCTAATGAGCTAACAAATGAGCATGGTTGTGTTCCAATAAAACTTTATTTATAAAAACAAGTGGCAGGCTGGATTTGGCCCAGGGGCTACAGTTTGCTCATCCTTGCTGTAGATTGGCTATCCTCAAAATTAGCTTAAGGACATAATTGACTGTGAAACATGTCTGTCGAGCTCTTTTACCTGCCCATAATCCTACTGACTGGGCCAATTGTCGAGCTAGGGCCAGGTCTGGCACTCACAGACCCCTCAAGCCTGTTCACAGACTGGGTCACAAACCCTTCACAGGGCAGGCTGGGTCCCCAGTCCCCTCACACACAGGTCTATAGCTAGGTAATTGGCAAAAAGTTCCTTGGAAGCCATAGGTTGGAGAGAATGGCTGTGTGGTGGATGCCTGAGGCAGATGCCATCCAAGCAGCAGTGCCACACATGTGCACTAACTCCACCCACACACAACTGGTTTACAAAGAATGCACTGCACCACCCCCAACCTGACCTAGGGTGAGGGGGCCTAATTAAGTTATTTTATTTTCCCAACAATATCACAGGCGATTTGCTACTAATTTATGCCAACAATGCTCATAAGTGACTTATTCCATTCTCTGTTGGAATCTAACAAAGGATATTCAAGAGGTTCTAATTCATAACATTGAGCATAAGACCAACCTATAGGCAGATGAAGTCAGAGCACAGCTTTGCCTTGGCACCAAAAAATAAATGAGAATAAAATTTCAAAGTTTTTATTTCCTGATGGACATCAACATAGACACTAAAGGGAGACTCAGAACTTAGTTAAACTTTGTCCAACTTACTTTATAAATTTAACATTTAAGGAAATGTTTAATTACATTTAGAAGGCAATATAATCCCTCTTAATGTCTAAATCCCACTGTTAATGCTCTAGAAGCTGTTTTCAAAGCTCCTTTCTGTTTCTCCTATATTGAAAGTCAGGACTAAAAAAGACCTTAGCATTCGGTCCAAACTCCGAATTTTACAGATGAGGGAATGGAGGCTTAGAGAAGGCAAGCTACTTTCCCCAGATCACTCAGTGGCAAAACCAAGATCCAAACCCAGGTTGTGGTAGGTTGTAGTATTACTCAAAATATTTGCTTCCCCTTCAAATGGAAAGATTATACAACTTTCTGCAGGAAGGAGCTTGGCCCTTGTGCCTTGTGGCGCCCCTCCCTGCAGGCGAAGTATACCCCCCACCCTCACTCTGTTGAACTCAAGAGTGGCCATGTGACTTGTTTTGCCCATGAAATGTGGATAAAAGTGGCATGTATCACTTCTGATTGCCACATCTGTCTTCCCTCTGCCATAGGCCTGGGTCACAGAGTGAAGAGGATAAGAAGCACAGCCACAGCTCACCTGTGACGGGCATGTCACATGAACAAGAAACAAATCACTGAGATCTGGGGTCATTTGTTACTGTGACATAACTGAGTCTGTCCTGACCAATATGTAGGCTTTACAACCCCAAACACTGTACTCTTTCTCACCAGGAGAATCTCGTATTGCATAGAATTTAAGAGCAAACATTTTAGAGTCAGCCTGCCCAGATTCAAATCTTACTAGCAGGGTGACCTTGGTCAAGTTACTTTCTCAGCGCCTCAGTTTTCTCATCAGTAATGTAAAGATAATACTGCTACTATTTTAGTCCGTTTGAGTTGCTATAACAAAATACCTTAGACCGGATAATTTGTAAACAACAGAAATTTATTGCTCACAGCTCTGGAGCCTGGGAAGTCCAAGATCAAGGTGCCAGCAGATTTGGTGTCTGGTGAAGGCTCTCCACGTTATAGATGGTGCCTTCTGAGTGTCCTCTCACAGAGGGAGGGGTGAACAAGTCTCCTTTGAGCCTCTTTTATAAGGGCATCAATCCCATTTATGAGGGATTTGCCCTCATGACCTAATCCCTCCTAAAGGCCCCACCTCTTAATTCTATTGCATTGGTGATTAGGTTTCAACATGTGAATTTGGGAGGAACACAAACATTCAGATCATAGCACATATCTACCCTACAGGGATACAGTAAGAATTCAGTGAACTGAGCCTATGTTTTAAGTAATACTGGCTAAATGTTGGTTATTATTATTCAACATAGTCTCTCCCTGGCTGACATTGCAGTGACAGTGAGGAGTGGGGAAGTGGAGGCTCACTGAGGCTGTTCTGTGTCATTGCACATGCAAACAGCCGTCCCTCCAAAAGTCGATCTCCCCCATGTATGATACTGACAGCCATCACTGTTCCTATAACAGGTCAAGGGGAAAGGGCACGAGGGACTCTGTTGCGGAGGGGTTAGGAGAAGGGACCCTAGAGTCAGGCTGGTTGGGGTTCAAGTCTGTATTTCCTTCCTGTGCATTTGTAGCTGAGTCACTAACCTCAATGCATCTCAGTTTCCAGCTCATGGGGTGAAGTGATGATTCAGTGAAATAATCCATAGAAAAATGCTTCAGAATCAATGTCAGTATTCTCTTCTGCCAGTACAAGCCAAGGAGGACGTGGGCAGAAAAGGAGTGATAGGAGGTGATTCAGCTTCAGGGTGTCTGAATCAGCAACAGGGATCATTGTAGCCTCTCCCCTGTGCTCATGGAAACACCTCCTTGAAATCACAGACCGATTGTCTCTCTGATCCTAAGTTGGTGGAGAATAAAGCATCACTCCCCCATCACACAGCTGGCATGGATCCCAGGGCGAGCAGGGCCTGTCAGGTCTGGTTGCTGTAGCCAGGGAGTCACTGGACATCGGTCAAGGTGATGACCTCACTCAGCCCTGTGGATATGAGTTTGATGACCTCAGATCAGGGTCACCCACCACAGGGGGAAGCTCAGACCATGTAAAGATACACTGTGTCCTTTCACAGGGAGACCCCACCTTGGCATGGAGCTGCCCATGAAAGGAACCCCTTGGCTCATGTCCTTTCATCCACACCCTCCTTAGTGTACACCGTCTGCTGAAGGCAGAGTTGCTGCCTAGCTGCCTGGGCCAGGGCTTTAACACACACATCAGGCTGGGATCTCTACCTGGGGCCAGCTGTGCTTGCCTTGCCTCTGGTCTGGCAGACCCCTGCCTAGGCCTGGCCAGAGGAGCACTGGACAATGATTTGTTGTAGGCAAACCCACCAGCCCAATCCTTGACATGCTGGCTGCTGGCTTGTCTGCCAGAAACCTCAGCCTCTCCAGATTAAGCCCTTAGTATGCAAATGAATAAGGGTGGGGAAACCGCCAGGCTCCAGGGCCGTGTTTGAATGAGTCCACAGGTGCTGTCACTTGCAGCTGCTGTGGGTGTTTCTTGAGTGCTCCTACTGACCAACATTGCTTTCCTCCATGTTTGGAAGAACGGGAGGAGTATATGAGCAAGACTCAGAAGGGGCATGAGGTGGTGGACGTTGAATGGAAGCTTTGCTGACCACCTGCCCTGTGCTGCATCTAGAGCTCAGCCTGGGGGCTGGAAAGTCAGTCCAGGAAGCCTCACCAGAAACGTTGCAGGCGCCTTCAATCCTGAGCAATGAAAAACAGCCAGAACTATAGATATGCCCTTGGCAAATACTGTACGAGAGCCCACTGGAATTTTTTTTTTTCTTTTCCACATGTCAACATGAATTAGCAGCACTCACTCCTGGGGCTACTGGGAATACGTCTTTACTGCATCCATCATAGCAAACCTTGAGGTTGGAAAGAAAGCCTTTTATTTGGTAAATGATTGTGAGGATTTATTACTAAGTCAAGGGAGAAGGGAATGAGGGTCTATGAGAGGAAATAGTACAGAAATTGGAATATCTTCAGTAAAATAATTGCAAGGCAACATTTCAGGGTAGTTTAATTTCCTACTGTGGTTTGATGACCAATAAAGATGATATAAAAGTGTCAATTATAGAGAAACTCCAGTATTTTGTTTTCCTGGTTATTCTAATAGATCAATTAGAACATACAATATGATCCAAAAAAACTATTTTTTAAACACTGTAATCAATCTTTCATGCTACAGATCTGTGTAGTTACTGCTTGTCACATAGTCAAGATAGAAGTGAATAAGTTAAACAGGAAGAAAACTCTTTTATTTTCCCTCTGGTAACAAGACAAGGAAACTTCTGCAAACTCCATCCTTAGCCATTTTCCCATTCTGTTTCTTTGACTGGTTTTTAACTGAAAGTTATAATGTTTCTATCCTCAGGTGCTAAATTAGTATTGTTGGGGACATATGAGGGACCTTTGCAGTTTTAGGAGGTGAGGGGCAGTTTTTTTTATCCACTAGCTTTGCCTGCCTCTGTTCACCAACCAGAAGCAACCCCAAGCCCGCCCAGTGAGGAGGTGGCATGGGCTGGATGAGGCAGGGGAAACAACCTCCACCCCGGCTCAGCCTCTACTCCATGGGTGGGAGGGACTGGGGACCAGGGCTGCCTGCTGAGATGACCGCCCTCCTCCTGCAGACTCATCCTCCTCATCTCACACATGCTCTTCCAACTCTCAAATCAGATGTAGGGACCTTTACAATCGGACTTCTGCTGCTAGTAACATGGCAAATGCAGAATCTGGCTTCTCGGCAAGGACTTCTGGCTTGTCAAACTCAATCACCTGAAAGTTGGAGAAGAACTGAAATTGTCAGGAAAGATCCACCCACCCAGAAGCCCAAACCACTGAAACCTCTGGGGAGGTGAAGCCAACAAAAGCTTCCTGCACCTTCCCATTTTCCATGACCAGGACGCGGTCACAGTTGAGAACTGTGTTTAAGCGGTGGGCGATAGTCAACACTGTGCAGCCTTTGAAGGCATCTTTGATGGTGCTCTGAACAAGGGTGTCCATCCTAGAGTCCATGGAGGCAGTGGCTTCATCAAGGAGAATGATCTGTTGAGGAAAGAACACTGTACAAGTTACACTAAGCCAAAGCTGTACTGAGAGGGAAATGTATAGTCTTGGCTCTATTAAAAGGAAAAGAGGGCCAGCCCATGGCTCACTTGGGAGAGTGTGGTGCTGATAACACCAAGGCCATGGGTTTGGATCCCTATATAGGGATGGCCGGGTTGCTCACTTGGGAGAGCGTGGTGCTGACAACACCGAGTCAAGGGTTAAGATACCCTTACTGGTCATCTTTAAAAAAAATAATAAATAAAAGAAAAAGAAAAGAAGAAAAGCTGAAAAGTAATGAGCTAAGCATACATCTCAAAAAGTCAGAAAAAGACCCAAATAAACATCACCTCCATCTCCCTCAGAGGGACTTGCTGGAGGAACAAGGCTGTACATTCTTTACTCCTCTTTTTAAGTGGTTTATTCTAACCCTAAACACTGGTAGGAAGAAACACCACACAGGCTTTATGTACTGTGCTAACATGAGTCAGCATGAGGTGTAACAGCACTAATATTTCCTATTGCTGCTATAACAAATTGCCACCAACTTAGAGATGTCATGCAAATTTATCTTACAGTTCTAGAAGTTAGAAGTCCTAAAGCCACGATATTTTCAGGTCTGTATTCCTTCTCCTGGCTCTAGGGAAGTCCTGCATTTTCTAGCTTTTAGGGGCCACCTGCTTTCCTTGGTTCACGGCCTCTTCCTGGCATTACATTTCCTTCTTTCTCTTTGACTCTCCTGCCTCCTTCTTATAAAGGCCCACCCAGATCCAGGATAATCTCCCCATCTCAAGATCTTTAACTTAGTCACATCTGCAAGTCCCTTTTGCCAAGTGTCAGGACATGGATATTTGCGGGGAAGGGGCATTATTCTGCCTACCACTGCACTGACTTAATTTTGCAAATCAGAGCGCTTGAACTCAGCTCCTAACTCTGCATGATCTTGGCCACGTTACATAACTTCCCCTATTATGAGCATGAAATACACAGACGACACATAAACCACTTAGCAGTGCCACAGCAGGCACCGATTACATGCTGGTTCCCTTTCCCCTGCCATTAGCACAATGGGTTACACCTTTGGTGAGGATTCAGAGAATGGGATTTCTAAGGCAACAGCAATCTCTTCCTCAAAATCAGTAAGCAAGGGTGGTTAAGTCACTAAGAAAAATTGGTATCAATTTTACAGTTCTCATATCCTCGGGTTACACCTTTGGTGAGGATTCAGAGAATGGGATTTCTAAGGCAACAGCAATCTCTTCCTCGAAATCAGTAAGCAAGGGTGGTTAAGTCACTAAGAAAAATTGGTATCAATTTTACAGTTCTCATATCCTCACATTCTGATGGCCTTTTCAGGTGTCCTGGGTACTGTTTATCAGGACTCAGAATTGTTCAGGGACAAAGGGGAAAAGTTGAGAGGCAGATTTTTCAAACTTAAACCACTTTGGAGAGCAGAGAGAATGCCTAAGGAAGACCTCCCAGGGGGACACGCTGGGGAAAAAGGTGCTATTGCTGTAAATGGCTGTTATTTTTCAATTGTCTTAAGGAAAAGTGACTGGTTTTTAAATGGTGCAATTGCTCTCTCTTTGCTGAAAGACGGACACGTGGCTCTACCTCCTGGACTGAGTGGTGCCGCAGGAAATATCCAAAATTTGATCAATCCATTTTCCGTGCTGTGTCCTTACTTTTGAATTACGGAGAAGTGCTCGGGCCATACAAAGCAGCTGCCGTTCCCCTACTGAGAAGTTTTCTCCATTTTCTGTGACTTCTGCCTGTAATTTTTCTGGGAGTTTCATTATCTATAAAACACAGAAAATGCTGCATTTATGTGGATGATCTATAAAATCACCCTGCATCATCTGTATTGATTGCCCCCTTCTCTTGCATTCATCAGCGTGCTTTATTTTACTGTGGGAAAGAAAGTGCGAAACAACAATCATTTCAATATTGCAAACAGGCACCAGGGAAAGACCAGGGAGTAGGCGGACATTAATAATTTAAAATCACAGTATGACTCATAGATCCCCATAGACAACTCTCCAAAAGAGTACAAATAATGCACATGCGGTTCCAGAGAACTCACAAGCAAGTGGAAATGGCTTTCAGGGTGGCTATTTCCACGGACAAAATTGAGATGGGACGGGAGAGTTTTCTGGTCATCAGAGAAGGGTAAGACAGGGCTTGACTTATGCAGTGTGACAAGTTAAAGTGGCTCTGGGTGATGCTCCCCTTGGTATCGAATCCTAGAAAAATATCCCCTGGGGCTGCAGAGGTGCTCATGCTCCCCTGCTGACCCCAACTGGGGCTGCAACTCTTATAGGACAGGGTCCCCTCTCACAGATGGTTCAATCCACTCAAATCAACCATACTTTCCATTCCTGGAACATGCCCCTTCCTGCCCTCCCCCCGCAATCTTTCTAAGGCCTGTCTGTTCTGATAAGCAAATGAGGCATGGACTTAGGTTCAAGTCTTTATTCTGCTACTTGCTAGCCAGGACATGTTACTTTTCTGAGCTTTAATTTCTGCATCTCTAAAATTACGGGTAGGAGTACCAACCTCAGAGGGTGGTAGTAAGGATCAAGTGAGTTAATGCATGTAGAGCTCTTGACTGGATCATTGCAGAGCCCTAGTAAACATTATCTGTTGTTGCTTTTATTAATAATAAAGAGCAAATGAGGATTGCATTCCACTGACTTATGTGGTGCCTGCAGATAAACCTGGCCAAATGCTGGCCCCAGTGCGTGTCAAATTGAAACCTGGGCCAGTTATCTGGGGCACTGGTCCTGGGATGCAGACTCATCCTGGACACCCGAGAGACCTACCGTGTCTCTCATGAACGTTCTCTCCAGAACCTGCCAGAGCATCTCGTCGGTGTGACTCTCAAAGGGATCCAAGTTATACCTGCAGTGAAGAAGAGGAGAGGGAGCTGGATTTCTGAGGATCAGAATGTGGGGGAGTGGGTTTTCTGCAGCAGGTGAGAGAGAATAGGAGGTGATGTGTGATGACCCTGCAGCTCAAGAGCAGTGCCCAGCCCAGGACAAAGGCCCATGAAACACTGACCTCAGGCCTCGAGCCCAAGGACCCACAACTCTGTGACAGAGCAGAGACCACCGAGGCAGGCAGGGAAAGGCAAAACCCCACTGAGAGACACTCAGGAGAACACGCCTGGGCCTCTCAGCATGCAGCAGAGTGGGTCTGACCTGACACAGTGTGTTGGCAGAGAGTGAGGGAAAGTGAGCAACTCAGTCTGGTACTCCGTTCACTTGACCTTCAGAAGCAAGAGGTACATCTACAGCTCCCAAGGCCTCACAGAGGCTGGAGCATCTCAGAGGCAGGAAGTGAGTCTGTTTCAAGATGCAGAATGTGTTTTTCATGCAACAAGCTCTAAATACAGTAAACACAGTTCCCCTAGTTTATCTGGTGCTCAGTGGGAGATATGTCCCTCCCATTAGAGGGACAGCCACTACACTGGACTGATTGACAAACTGTGGCTTTCTTCTTGCAACTGGACATCGGATCTTGAGCCCCAGAGAAGTTGTAACCCTACTGTTCTTCCACTGAAAAGAGCCTCTGTTCACTCCATAGTGCGAATGAATTCTTCCCAATAGATAGCTACATACATATGGTAACCATTTACGAGGGAACTTCAGAAAGGTTGTAGAAAAATGGAATTAAAAAATACAAATGAGAAAAGTAAACTTTATTTCTCATTATAAGCTCCACCAAGCTCAAGACACATTTATAAGTGATGATACCAGCCATTTAGTCCATCCCTAAAGAACTGAGGGTCCTGCGAATTTAACCATGTCAATGCAGTTTTTTTTACATTATGAACTGAAGAAAAATGGGTGCCCTTTAAAGATGTTTTAAGATTAGAAAACAAAAACAGGCCAGAAGGAGCCAAATCAGGACTGTAAGGTGGATGCTTAATGATGTCCCGTTCAAACTCTCACAAAATTGCCAATGTCTGATGAGAAGATTGAGCAGGAGCACTGTTATGGTGCAGAAGGATTCTCTGGTGAAGCTTTCCTGGGTGTTTTCTGCTAAAGCTTTTGTGAACTTTCTCAAAACACTCATAAGAAGAAGATGTGATTATCCTTTGGCCCTCCAGAGTCAAACAGTAAAATGGCTTGAGCATCCCAAAAAAGCATTGCCATGATCTTTGCTCTTGACTGGTCCACTTTTGCTTTGACTGGAAACTTCCATCCCAAAGCAAAAAAAAAAAAAAAAAAAAAAGAGAGAGAAAACAAAAACAGGCCAGAAGGAGCCAAATCAGGACTGTAAGGTGGATGCTTAATGATGTCCCGTTCAAACTCTCACAAAATTGCCCATGTCTGATGAGAAGATTGAGCAGGAGCACTGTTATAGTGCAGAAGGATTCTCTGGTGAAGCTTTCCTGGGTGTTTTCTGCTAAAGCTTTTGTGAACTTTCTCAAAACACTCATAAGAAGAAGATGTGATTATGCTTTGGCCCTCCAGAGTCAAACAGTAAAATGGCTTGAGCATCCCAAAAAAGCATTGCCATGATCTTTGCTCTTGACTGGCCCACTTTTGCTTTGACTGGAAACTTCCACCCCTTAATAACCATGGCTTTGATTGTGCTTTCTCTTCAAGATCCCACTGGTAAAGCCATGTGTCACCTCCTGTTACAGTTCTTCAAAGAAATGCTTCAGGATCTTGATCCCACTTGTTTAAAATTTCCATCGAGAGCTCTGCTCCTGTCAGCAGCTGATCTGGGCACAACAGTTTTGGCACCCATTGAGCAGAAAGTTTGCTCAACTGTAGTTTTTCAATCAGAATTGGGTGTGCTGAATCAATGGAGATGTCTATGGTGTTGGCTATTGTTTCCTGCTATTAATCATTGGTCCCCTTCAATTAGGGCATGAATGAGATTAATTTTTCTCTTCCAAATTGTAGATGGCACAAGATAGTACAAGTTCATTTTGGCACAAAAAATTTTTGAAATCCATGCATACTTTTTTCATAATGCACATTTTCCATGATCTTTTTGGAGACCCCTCCTATTTTATTGCACAAACTGTGGTACTTTTGAGAGTGGCCATTGCTAAACCTGATGCT